ATTGCTCTAAGTTCCAATTTATTAAGAGAGTTGGCACATCTGTGGAAACCCCGAATCTGAAAGCTTCCTGGGTTTTCCACGCAGTTGAAATTTCATGATATTGCCCCTACACCCACAAATCCATCACATGGTCCAATCTTCCATTGCCACACTGGCATTTCCTCCCATCTAGTTCCAGTCAGGTGCAGAGGTACAGAGACAAAGAATGACCTTGGGCTTCTAGAAAGGAATATTTTGTTTTGACGACAGCACATTCTACAATTCTATTCCTTACTATTCCCCCTTCCAATTACCCCACTAATGGAACAGCATAATAAAATAAGAGAGAGTGTGGCAGGCAAAATATCCTAAAGGAATATGACTGGAGGCCTGACACTTGGTTAGTAGTGAAATCCTTGGACACAAGTAAACAACCTTATTTTATCATTTTGTCCATGATTTCACTCTGCTTCCTTCATTCTGTCTCTGATAAGAGAAGCCATATAATGACTTCTTAGCTGTCTCTCTCTTAGCTGTCCTGGTCTAAACTGGCAAATATGTCCCTTATATCTGTGCTGCAATCCTCAACAGTCAGCTTTGCTACATTCAGGAAGTAACATCTTCATTTCTCTTGCACATCTTTTTATGCAGCCTCTTTGATCATATAGGTCTGAAACTTGATGAAAGTTGTTTCCTAGCAAAACAGCTACTATTGCAATATATTTGATCACATTCTGTCTCAGAGCATTTACATGTTTATAGGTACTTTAAAAAAAAGAGCTTCATTCAAAGACCTGTGCATCAATTTCAATGAAATTTGGTACTCTTCATCCCCACATGAAAATTCATTCTCTGCCAGAGAAAAATGGTGTGTAGCTTATAGTGAAATGGGTATTTGTACATGCAAACACATGGGGATATGGTGGATCAGACGCTCTGGCTCCATCAAATGGGATCCCTAAACCACTATCTGTATGGCACCCTCTGCTGCTGCTACTATCATTATTTATCAAAAAACACCTGTTTTTTGCATCGTTATTCTGGAAGAGTGAGATTGAATTTTCTCTTATTTGTAGCTAACAAATATGTAATTGGCTAAATTCTTCCCGGAAGATTCAAATTGCTTGTTATATACAGTAAAGTCAAGAAAAGACACAGAGAGAGACAGAGAGACAGAGACAGAGACAGAGACAGAGACAGAGTAGGATACCTAGAAGCAAGTAGCTCATTTTTAGGTTCGCAGGCTTTACAATCTCAACATCTTAGCCAAGTTGTAAGGTTTAATTTTGATTGATTGTCTTTTGGGAGCATTTTCCTTACATAACCATTTTCAATTTTCCAGTGTTAATCTATGGGAGAATAGAGTTGTTTCTCTGAATCTGGCTTTGGTTTGAATTAAACTAGGCTATCCCTAGAATGATTCATATTAGATGAAGCTCTGTCCCAAACTCTAGATGTAATCCCTGAACCCAGATTAGGCATTGCTCCATGTCTTTAGTTCTTATCTAATATCAAGGCTGAAAAATAAATCATTTCAGGTGCCTGGATTTTTACAAGTGGTCTGCATGTTGGAATAACAAAACACATTGGGCAAGCAGTCCAAGATCATATGTTGACAAGTTCTTCGTCTACAGTGAAAGTAGTTGCAATAGGAATAACTTCCCTGGAGAAAATACAGCACAGAGATCTTCTGGAAAATGTCAAGGTACCCTCTTTTCATTGACAAAAGAATGGAAAACATGTATAGAGAATACCTAAGACCATGTAATGTTCTGGGAACTTGCTAAGAAGTCTTTCATTTGATAAAAATGATTACATGCAACCTATGATTTAATCATATTAAACAGACACGGTCCAGAATAATCATTTGATTTTGTGTGATAAGTGATGTCTTCTTTTTCATAGAATGACATTCTTATAAACAACAAAACTGATAATAACGTCCAAGGGCATTTGTATTCCCTTGACAATCACCATTCCCATTTCATTTTGGTGGAAGAGAGTGAGCCAGATGGGACAACAAAACTGCAACTCGCCTTGGAGAAATATATTTCAGAGCAGCATACTAGCTACGGAGGTAAGTTCCCCTCTCAAAAAAAAAGTAGTCAAGAAAGGTTGTTATTTGCCATTTGGGCACCATTTGGATGTCTGACATTTCCAGGGGGTTATTGTTGCTTAATGATGGGACAGAGTCTGACTTACTTTAATTAGAACGTAATCATTGAAATCAATAAGACAAATTCATAGATAATGCAAATTTGGCAGCTAATACTGTATAATTTGTTTGGTTTAGAAAAATATTCAGTAACTCTGTGAGTGTGTGCTCATATGCTCCATAAACATATAAGTCTATATGATTGTTTGCTTGTAACAGAGAATGCAGTAATCCACATGCAAAATTTAACTGTTTTATATGTATGAAGAAGTTAAAGAGATAAGAAGGGACACAAGGAGGGAAGATATATACTCAGAGGTGGGTTTCTGCCAGTTTGCTTCAGATCGGTCAAACCGGTAGTGGCGGCAGCAAGAAGCTCCGCCCACCTGCCCAGATGCTTTTGTGCGAGCGCATGAGCGAGCGCACAAGCGAACCGGTAGTAAAATAAATTGAAACCCACCACTGTATATATTGTATGTGGTAGCAGAATAAAAAGCAAATGCTTGCATTAGACACTTCATAAAATGCCATTTTGTCTCAAAATATAGTTTTTTTAAGTAATATTAGTTTCTTAATGAATTTGGTCTTTGCTAAGCATCAGCACATGTTATCCTTGGGCATTGAATCTTAGATGAGCCCATCACTGCTCATACTTGGATACCCCCCCCTCCCCCCCCCCCCCCCCCCC